GGCTCAATGGTTGGACTTGATGATCTTGGAGGTCCCTTCCAACCTAAAGGATTCTATGATTCTATAAGTGCTGCCCATCCAGGGTCTCCATCTCTGGGTGCCACTGCCCTTGCCCTCCCAGTGCTCCCAGTTGCACTGGGATTGAGGTCCCGCCAGAAGATGCGATGAGGGTTTGTTCACCACCACTTTGGGGACAAGGTGTGGTTGGGGACATGGGGTTCAGGGGCCCCTCGCATCCCCCCAGCCTGCCCCAGAGCTGGAGAGGGAGCAGAATGGGGCAGGGGGTGGGAAGTGCTCAGCACTGCTGTGCAGGGGGGCTCCCCAAGGAGAGGGGGACAAGCCCCTGCCACATCTCTTCAAAGGGCAGTTACGTGTCCCTGTGGCCACTGGGCCAGCAGCAAGCCCTGGCACGGGGCACGTGGCACTTGGGGATTTCTTGCCCTTCAGCCTGGGGGTGCCCAGCTCCACAGGGGTGTCACTGCCTTGGGGAGCAGCACTGGGGCTGAGGGACCAAACTGCAGGGGGGGTGACAGAGGGGACAAAGTCCTATGAAAAAATAGAGGCGGGGGGGGACTCGGTCCCGTGGCTGCTGCTGCCAGCCTGGGTGGTGTTTCTGCCAACCAGGGAGAGAAAAAAATGGGGCATTCAGGGGTGCACGGGCATGAGGGTCTGGCCCTGACTGTTCATCTCCACAGGGTGAAAGCCAAGAAGGGTGTCAACCTGCTCAGCACCAAGTCGAGGAGCGGGCAGTGGCTGGTGAGCTCGGAGCTGCTGACGGGGGGCAAACACTCCACTGCCACTGTTGACGTGGCCAGGGTGGATGGTGCAGGGCCCAGGTGAGGTTCCCCCCAACCCTTCTCCTCCCAGCCCTGGGTGGGGTGGGGGGAATTGCTGGGGTTTGGCTGCTCCCCCTTCGTCCCCACGCTGGGTGCCTGGTTGGCCGTGGTGCCCCGTGGATGCCGTGTGAGGTGGTACGTCCAGGTGGGATCTGCCCCGTGGTCATCTCAGGTGGCCAAGGTGGGGCTGGAGCAACGTGCTCGTAGCAGCTGCATCCCTGGCCCCCAGCTGGCATCGCCTGGCTGTGTCAGATGGGTGGCACGTGGTGGATTTTGGTGCTGAATTCTGAAACTAAGGAAGATCACCCAATTTGGGGTGGAAGTATTTTAATTTTTAAGAAGTTTCCATACCACGAGAGGCTCTTTGTTGACTATCCTGGTGTCAGCTCCATGAAGGAAGGTGAACAGTTCCTGGGCAAGGTCCCATCTGGATGCTGAGGTGATGGATGAGTGTTGGATGGAGAGCACCTACCAAGGCAGCACCTGAGACAGGCAGAGCCTGTTCTGCCCTGTTTGACACGAGGACAACGCCCATTTCTAGGGCTCCAGGACAGGCTCAGGTTGGCTGAGGACAACAACGAGGATGATCTGAAGGAGCAAGGACCCACAAGGCCAAGTTGAAAACCCAGAGGTTGCTCAGCCTGGAGAAGGGAAGACGTGAGCCTGGGCTGGGGGCTCGTGGAGGCTGCAGAGGCGAGGGGCAGCTTTGCTCCTCACACCCACGTGGGGAAGACATGGCAAGCAAGGGCAGGGGATGGGCACGGGGCTAAAACCACCAACAGACTGGGCTGCTGGAGAGCAATTGTTCCCAGGCTGTGATATCTCCATCACTGTCTCTTTGGGAAAAGGGAGATGAGTGTCTTCAGGAGCCAGGTTAAGATGAGTTGATGTGCTGCTGGGTTTCCTGCCCTCTGCATTGGAAATCTCCCCGTGTCTCTGCCCCCTACCCTGAAACTGAGCAAAGCTGGGAACGAGCTCTTGCAGGAAGGAGATCCTCAGCTCTGACTGCTTCGAGTGTGAGCTCACAAGCTGCCTGCAGAAAACTCCTCCAAAGGCCTTACCCAGGGGTGGATTTTCCTTTACCCCACCCCATCGTTTCCAGACACGAGATACACCCGCAGCATCTGAGCCCCCAGACTCGTGGCTGACATTGGGGTGTCCTCAGGGCCACGAGCCCCCCACGTCCTCTGCGTGGCCACCCCAGCACCCCTGCAAGTGCCTGCCAGACCTGTCAGCAGTGAAACTCTCTCCTCTCCCCCTTCCCTCCCCCCTGTCTGCCGCCGCTTCGAATCAGCCTGGAAAGGTTGGAGACGGAGGATGAATTTAAAGTGATTACAATCACCTTTTAGACAAACAACTCCATCAAATATTAACAGCATGGGAAGTATGAATGACTCAAAGCCGTGTTGCCCTCCAGGCTCTGTGCAGCCAGAGTTTGCTTCGCTGGGGCTCAGGGGGCTTTTGGCAGCACTGGCTGTTGCAGGGATGGGGCAAGGGCCCTGAGCTTTGCTTTGATAATGGCCCATTGTGGATGTTTTGCACCCCAGCAGCTGCATCCCAAGTTATTCCCCCAGTCTGGGCAGCCTGGCTCTTGTCTCTGCCATGGCTGAGAGCAGATGATGCTCAGGGAGGGCAGAAGATGGTGGCTGGCCCCTGGCAGAGCTCCTGGGACACGGAGGAGCACCCCATGGGGAGAAATCCCAGCAGCAAACCACCTCTGGCATGAAGCCACCGCTCTGGTTTGCCCTTGGACCTGGCTCTCAGCTGCTCTTTTTAATACTTCTGCACTGGAAGAGGCTATGAGCAATCTCCTCCTTCAGAATGGGTGGCCTTTGGTGATTCCCCTCACTGCCCTGGGGCCATGAAGTCTCAGTAGGACGCTCCAGGCAGCAGCTCTGCTGCAAAGCCCATCGTTCCCACTGCAGGAGCAGAGTTTGCTGCGGCCTGGAGCAGCCCTGGCTTCTTGCTGTCCTCTTTTTCTGCTCCCTTTCACTCATTAGATATTTATCAGAGAGAAACCCAGCTGTATCCTGCATCCTCACATCGATGAGGAGCTTCTCAGTGGCTGTTACTCTGCCAGATGAGAGTGGAGCCAGTCCTGGGTTCCCCTTCTGCAGAGATTTTACCTTTCCTCACCCCCTCCCTCCTCTTCCTCTGGGGGGGCTTTTGCCAGCTCTGCAGTTTGTGGAGGCTCTGGGGTGTCCTCTGGGGATGTTCTGTTTCTGGGGAGCAATGGAGAAGTTTGACCATGGGGGGGGGTTGAACTTTGAGTCTTCCCAAGGGATTTTCAGGTGGGACTCAGAGATGGGAAGGCAGGACTGTGTCTGAGGAGGTTTGCTCATGGGGATGGGGTGTGGGAATGGTTTATGCTACTGCCATCAGACTGTGTCCAAGCTGTGACACACAGGACAAGGGACACCAGCTGCTGAGTCCCCCTACCCCTTTAGACTGGCCCTGAGTGCCAGGTTTGTCAGCACACAGCCTCTCCATCCCCTCCTGCCTTGGGGATGCCCCAGGGTTCATCCCTGTCCAGGTCTGGGTCCTGCTGTCCTCAGCAGCAGATGGGTAGGGGGGTTGATGAGCTGGTGGTCTCGGGGCTGTTCTCCCCTGTCAGTCCTGTCCACACCCCCATCCCCTGCTTGTCCACCCCCTGCATCCCAGAGCTGTCCATGCAGGCTGGGGACAGTCCTGCCCCGAGACCCAGCTCAGCACTGTCCCAGCTGCTGTCTGTGGTTAAAGCTCTTTCTCCCATGCCTATGTTCCCCCCTTGGAAGGGGCTGTAACCTCAACAGCTTGGACTGGACTCTTGAACAGGGACTTATTTGCCATCCCAGAGCATGCTGCTCTCCTGGGTGTGGGATGTTTGGGGTTTGACCTGTGGGGGATGAGCATGCAGGAGGGAGGGAGCAGCCTGGGTGGTAAATCCACCTCTGCTGCTGGGGAGATGAGAGTCCCTGCAGCACCCCACCATCCCCCAGGGCCAAGGCCAAGGCCACACACTCACCCTGTGATATTGCATCACCCAGCAGCCCTGGAGAGCACCCGCTTGAGCTGCTGAGGTTTATCTCCCACTGGAGAGAGGCTGTGAAATGTATTTATCTTTCCCACTGGAAAGCTCCCCACGGGAATCTGCAGGCTCCCCTCGGAGCAGCCCCTGGCAGAGGTCGGGGGAGGAGGGGGTGGAACCAAGATTGCTGTGTTTGGGAAGAAGCATTGTGATGGCACCCACAGCCCAGTCCCCCCGGCAGGCATGGGGACACTGAGAAGAGAC